TGATTGGTCTATTACCACCCTTGTCCTGGACAGTGCTCTTATTCATGAAAGCTGAAGTTAAATGACCCTTTGTGAGTTACACCCCACCCCCACCCCCACCTCATTTGTTCCAGATCAGCTTCCACTGTATATCTTCCTAGTTCCAATATTCACCTTCAGTTTCTGGCCATTCCATTTTATATATTTTCCCTTACCATTGGAGTACTTGGATAACATATATTGAATCCTTCTTCCTGGCCAGGTACTCATTCATTAACTCATTTAGTCCTCACAGCAATACCATGAGTTAGGTACTCCTTATTTTCTCAGTGGAAGAAAGCAAGCTTGTCCAAGGTTACATCGTAAGTGGTAGAGTCAGAAATTGAACTTGGGCAGTCTGACTGTGATGTGCAAGACTGCAAGAGCCGCCCTTCTAACCTGGCTGTTACGCTCACTTTCAGTTCTGTTATTTAATGATGTTTAATATCATTAGGCCAGACAGACTTTTTGGATCCATCCCTGCCATAATCCCAGCTTATGGCCTTACTGATGAAATGGTAATACTGCTCCATTGCTCAAGACTCTTCTCCTGGACTGTGTCTAAATGGTCACTACAAACATCTTCCTATGTTAATACATTTAACAGGTCACCTCATGGCCCAGGAGGCTTTCTGTGCCTTCAAGTATATCTAGTACTCAGATATTTGAATTGTGTAGTTTAACTCAAAAAACATTTCTGTGTTCTCAGGGAATGTCTCATCTGGACTCCATTTATGACTAAAATGCCAAGCTAATCATAATTTTTGTCTGCAAATACTTTAGTGTAGTATTAGAGAGCTGTATATCAAAAGGCCACGGTTTATCTAGATTTCTTATTAGAAAGTTTCTTTTAAAGCAGAAGAGAAAACGTCTTAACTTTAGTCGTGGTATGGTGTCTGGCAAAAGAAACCATAAGCAAAGGAAAAGGCAAGACCCACACTGAGAGAAGTGATTAACAACCCAGATAAACAACAAAAGATTAGTATCCAGAATGTGTAAAGAACTATTTCAATAATTTGAAAGAAATGAGTAAAAGAGAAGCAACTAATTAAGGGGGCAAGGAGAAGAGGCACAGATATGAACAGGCCATTTACCCAAGAAGAAATCTGAATGGAGGAACAAAAAACAAAACATGAATGGATGCTCCATTTCAATTGTAATCAAGGAAACACAAATTAAAACCACAGGGAAGAAGGGCATCTGGGTAGTTCAGCAGTTGAGCATCTGCCTTTGGCTCAGGGCATTGATCCCCATGATCCCCGGGATCCTGGGATCAAGTTCTACATCAGGTTCCCTATAGGGAGCCTGCTTCTCCCTCTGCCTATGTCTCTGCCTCTCTCTGTGTGTCTTTCATGAATAAATAAATAATTATCTAAAAGAAAAAAACCACAGGGAGATGCCATTTACACCTACCAGATGGGCAAAAGTTCGTAAATATGATAAAATATTGCCAAACAATTCATGTCTTGCTAGACTCATGTCTCAACTCCTGTCTCTCACTAGTGGGAGAGGTATATAAATTGGTAAAATCACTTTGGAAAGCAGTTTGTCACAACAGAGGTAAATTGTGGATGCACATACCCATTACAAGCAAGCATTTCTCCTTCTAGGTGTCAGCCAGAGAGAAATTCCACACATGTGCATGGGGCATACAAGAGACCATGGTTTCTAATAGTGAAAAAGTGGAAACCACCTAAGGGCCCACTGTCAGGTGAAATGGAGAATTGAGCTATTGTTCGTTCCCACAGTAAAACACTGTGTATCAGTGCAATGAATCAATGAGACCTACACTATCATTATAAACAGAAATTGAGTGAAAAAGTAACAAAAGGATGTAGTAATAAGATATTCTTTGTGTCCATTTTAAAAACAAAAACTAGTACATATTGTTATATGTACCTGTGTTGTAAAAGTATAAAAATGCACATCAGAATTATATGTACTAACTTCAGGAAAGAAGATACCTCAGAAGGAGCTTTAGAGAAGCTAGCTTTGGGGGTTATGTCTGGATACAAGAGAACAATTAAGCAAATCGGGCCAAGTGTTAACATCTATGCAGTTTGGGTGATGAGTGCTTGCTGCTTGCTCTGTGGTGTTTTCCCCCGTTATTGGATGTTTGAAATGTATTAGAATTTTTTAAAAAATTATACGTGGAAAAAAATTATACGTGGAATGACCCAAGCAGAGTAAAACTGCAATAGTTAACTGTTGGTCCTACAAAAACTGTATGACTTACTAAAGCAAAAGAGATTCTGTGCATCGTCCATACCTGTATTCAAACCATAATTAGAATCTTTTTTCCAGATCTCATCTTAGGATGGTTATTTATGCATTTCCTTGGCCAGAAGCAAAATTAATAAGGATAAGGTGCTCTAAAACCTTATTTTCCCCCATTAATTTTGTATGCTTTTGTACTAGATTACAATCCATGTTTCATGCAGAGCTTTCCCAGAGTGTGCAAATGTGCCACAGCTAGAAAACCAGTCTTTTAAGATTTTGGCTTTTTGACCTCACAGAATTTGGATGAGTGATAAGCAGAATTTTTTGCCTCAAGTGCATATTATTGCCAATTTATGGGGTTTTTTAAAAGACATTTCTGTAGTTAACCATTATGCTTGGGCAGAAGGAAATGAAAACAAAAAGCATGGTCTTAGCAGAGACAATGTCTATGGAGTCAAAGTCTACTGACTCGCATCCCCTCCTATGTAAAAGGCAATTTTACTTAGAACTGCTGTAATGTAGATTAAATGATGATAATGTGTGTCTAGCATCTAGCAGCTAAAGGGCACATAAATATCTCTGACTTTGCTTCTCATTTTCTTGCATGTGAACTTGAAAGGGGGGAAATAAGAAGCATACCAGAAGTTTAGGAGAAACCTAGCACTTCCTTTCCAGCTCTGAGTCTTTTGTTACCACCACCCACCCAACCCTCCAGTCTTCTAACAAACCAAACTGAACCGAGGAACTGCAACAGCCACATACTGGTGTATGCGCTCAATGGGGCCACATAGCTATGAAAAAAGATGTTGCCTCAGCCAACGTGAGAGCGTGCATTAGTTTCTATCTCATCTGAGTTGACAGAATTCAGGTTATATTCTGAGTTTCGAAAACTTTCTTCTGATGAAAAAATAGAAGTTTCTTTGCAAGTTATGACGTCTATTGGCACCTGACCTAAAAGGCTCTCCTAGTAGATGTCACATCTGTTGTGAATATCTTTCCCACCTTGTGCTTTTGCATTTATGTTTGTGGTTTTTGACCAAAAAAAATAAGCTATGCATTTTCCCAATAGTTATTTCTATTGTTTTATTAATAAAAGGTTCTTGCCCATCCACAGAGGAGTTAGTCACCTATCTTTAAGTCTTTTCATGGTTCCATTATTTACACTTAACAATCTAATCCACTTTATAATGTTTTGTGTGTGCCATGAGGTGAGGCTATAAGCTGGCTTTTGAGTAAGAAGCACCACACTCTTTATTAATCCATCCCTTCCTTCCCCCATGCTTTTCATGATGTCTTTTATTTGCAGTGGTTCTTTCTCAGGAAAGAAAGTGTATCACAGTCACTCAGGAAACCTCAAAAATCCACTTAACTCCACTTTGCAAGATTCTAGCACATCTTGAGTAACAGAATCTTAAGTTTCCCTCTGATTGTTCCTGCCCCTGCTCTTTTGAGAGCCGTTAATTATGTCACATAATCTTCTGGATCATGGAGGGTCTGCTTAGAGATGTGTATTCTCTTCTACTGATAAACTTATCCTTGCATCTGCTGCACAATGTCCTCCTTATTGAAAGATAAGAATATATTTTAATATCTGGTAAAATAAGTTCCCATTCATATTTCAAAAACCTAAAAAATTGGCTGTTAACATGTTTCTCCAAAACCAGGGGGCCTGTTGGGAGAACTCTGTTTCATGCTGTTTTTTCCTTGTGGGTAACTTTTAGTAAGGCTGTGCTTCAAAGAGTTGTAATTATATTAGTTCTACTTTTATATCAGCAGGACTGAACAATCCATTTTTTAAAAAAGTTAAAAATAAAACCTTCTGACCTTCAACAAAATTTCCTTTTTCTATTTACCTGATCTTAGAAATTCAACCGTCATCAAACCCAGCTCTGCACAGAATACTTTTCCAAATGAACAGTAGCACTCAGCATTAGGTCCCAGTCTGGCAGCCAGGCAGTTAATTTTGCCCTTGTTTACTTTTGCATATATGAGATGCTATTTGGAAACTTGTTCTGAGTATCTTTTACAAGGTGAGGATATGTATACACTTGGGAATTTCCTTTTTCTGCATGCTTCTAAACGTTGGGTTGGGGGAGGTAGGGACAAGTGTTTCCTGCTTGCAAACACTTATGTTCAGTAAGAAATAAAGGCTGTATATAATAAATAGCCTTAAATTTAGTTAAGTCAGTAGCATGTTAAGAATTTACAAACATTTGCAGGATTCAGGTTACTCTAAGACATGTTATTAGTAAAACTTCTATCAGTAAATAATATCCATCATAGGCTTACGCTGATTGACTTTTATCAAAATTTATTTTATCACAAATATCATACCAAGAATTAACCCAGTGTACCTTTTAATTTTTTTAAAAGAATGCCATTGTGTGGGGAGCCTGGGTGGCTCAGTCAGTTAAATGTCTGACTCTTGATTTCTGCTCAGATCGTGATCTTAGGGTCCTGGGACCTGCCAGTATCAGGTTCCTCACTCACCGGGGAGTCTGCTTGAAGATTCTTTGCCTCTCTCTCTCTGCCCCTCCCCCTGCTTATGTGCTCTTGTTCTCTCTCAAAATAAATAAGTCTTAAAAAAATAGTAAGAATACCATTGTGCTGGGCTTTATAGGGATCATCTAAGATAAATAATGAGACAGCTTCTAGAACTATGAGTGTATATTTTTTAATGTTCCTAAAACTAATAATAATAATAATAATAATAATGTAATTTAACTATTCAAACTGTATGTTTATAGAAGAGATATGTAGAGATATAAAATGCTTACCAGTAATGTAAAAAAAAAATCTTTGTAACTTTGAGCACTTAAGGGAAAATCAGTATCATCATATTTTATGACCATACAACTAGAAATGCTAAATTTCAGTTTGGTGGTATTTGCTAACATCGTCAGAGCAAAGTAATAGAAGTTTTTTTCTGAGCTGCTAATTTTTCTGCAAATTTCCGTTTTTCTTCTCAAATGTTTCTTGTTTTTTTAGTATAATTCTGCTTCGACCTGTTCTTTTTTTTAATTTTTATTTTTATTTATGATAGTCACACACAGAGAGAGAGAGGCAGAGACATAGGCAGAGGGAGAAGCAGGCTCCATGCACCAGGAGCCCAACGTGGGATTCGATCCCAGGTCTCCAGGATCGCGCCCTGGGCCAAAGGCAGGCACTAAACTGCTGCGCCACCCAGAGATCCCTCAACCTGTTCTTTATTCAGTTGTATGCACTTACTGAAATAGAGCTGTGCACTAATTGTATAAAAGCCAAATCTCATTAAAATAAATTCAGCCCAACAAAATTCTTCATACTCTCTAACTTTGATTCCCCAGCCAATTGCCCCCCTGAAGTTTGAAGAATTATTCTAACTATAAGAAATTCTCCTATTCTGTGACAAACTTATGAATGCATCCTTGGACTTCTCATAACAAATTTTACGTATTTACTCAGTGGCATTCTGGTCCTGTGACAAAAAAAACTGAATAAATGCTGGACAAACTTCTAAGAATGGTTGCCTTAAATGACATCTCCTGTTTACAATTGTATGATGTTCTATGCAGCTATATCGAGATACATTGACTAGGAAAAAAATACACCCACTTTTTCAATTCTGTTAGGCATACCCCCCCATCTCATTCATCTGCTCATTCGTTCATTCATTCAGTTATTCAGTAGATACCTGTTAGTCACCTGTGTGCCTCGCAATGCACTAAGCTCCCAAGAGCCCTTGCCAAATAAGAGCCCTTTATTTTAGAGCTTACTCTCCAATTAATTTTGAGCATGCATGAAAACTTCAGAATTTTCTCCCTTTAATTCTAATCTGTAAGTTGTCTTTGTTAGTATGAAATATTTCAAACATTCAGGAATATACCAAAAATATTGTTAGTATGAAATATTTCAAACACTCAGGAATATACCAAAAATAATAGAATACCCAAGTACTATCACATAGGTTAACAGACATTAACATTTTGCCATGTTTGCTTCAAATCTCTCCAGCTATAACCATTAACTTTAAGTTGGGATGTTATTCTGTGTATATTATGCACATTTTGTACTTGTATTGCATATCTATATGGTATTTTATATGTTTTGTATTTTACATAAATGATTTCACATGGTGTGTACCCTTTTGCAATTGGATTTGGGAGGGTTGATTTCTATTCAACATTGTTTTTTATAATTTTCCATATTGATGCATGCAGGTATAATTCATTTTGTTGAAGCACTGTGTAATACTCTATTTTGTGAATAAGCCACAATTTATTTCTCCATTCCTTTGCTGATGCATAGTCAAATTGTTTCCAATTGTTTTCTTATATATGTGTGTGAGTGGTTCTGTCGGGTGTATGCCCAGTAGCAGACTTGGCAGATCCTAAGAGTGTGCCTATTTTCAATTTTACTCTATCAAAGTGTGGTCCAAGATGGCAGAATCATTTACAAATCTGTTTTAAGTAAGGTGTGGGTTCAAGTCTTGTCGGTAGGTTATCATTCCTTAGCTTGTCTATTGTTAGATTTTACTGTGTAGTGTTTAAATTCTTATTATTTGATCAGTGATAGATAATGGATGATTTTATTTTTTAATTAGAATTTTATTATTTCATCTGTTAATAATGGCTTAGGCATAAATGAATAAGGTAGCAAATTATACAGGCTTTTTAAATGACAAAGAATATACATTTTCTAACATTTTTCTCAGTCTGCCAATCATTTAACTTAATTTTATTTTTATTTTTTTAAGATTTTATTTATTTACTCATGAGAAACACAGAGAGAGAGGCAAAGATGTAGGCAGAGGGAGAAGCAGGCTTCCTGTGGGGAGCCCAATGTGGGACTCAATCCCTAAACTGGGATCACGCCCTGAGCCAAAGACAGACACTCAACCGCTCAGCTACCCAGGCATCCCCCTAACTTACTTTTAAACATACCTTAAATTAGTATTAAGTGCTTGATTTTGAGTAACTATGTTAGTGGCTTGAGAAACCATGACATTTTAATTATTCTGTTGTTAAAACCATAAATTTCATGTAACTTTATAATCTATGTTAAGAGTATTAGCTTAACAGCATATTTTGAAAAGATTTTACATACAGATTTAAAGTCTAGTGATGAGTATGAACTTTTCTTTTCCTTGAAAGATTTTACAACTAAGCAAATGAAATATCACAAATAAGCAAAGAGCTTTGAGCAGATCTGAGCTTTGCAAATGCTAGAGCTTTGTTTCATAAATTTTAGTTCTTTAAGGTATTAAGAGGTTATATTTTCTCATTCTTTTTAATGTGTTTACCTCAAGTGCTTTAAGAAGTAGGCTGAATTTTAGCTGCAACAGATGTATCATGCAGGGAATATCCTGGTTTAAATTCTGAAGTACTTTCACTTCTGCTTGCTTCCCCTTGAAATCGTCTAGAAAGAAGTTGGCACATTATTTTGCGGATGTTACTGGACATCAGGAAATACATGACTGGATCTAAGCAGCTATTGAAAGATGAGAAAACCAACATGATCTCGTTGGTTTTGTGAATGATTTCCTTCCAATAGCAAGAAGACCCATTTAGCTGTGAAGAAATATAGACAAATCGGAAGGCATGATAGGGAACAAAACATACAGTAAAAATGATAAGTACAATAAAGGAATTCCGGGCTGTTTTGGCATATTTACCAGAGTTGGGAAATTTTGACCTCCTTTTGGAAATCCTCAGTAGATTCTTGCCGATCTTAATATATGAAAGGATTATTAGTAAGAAAATTAGCCAAAACATTACCACAAGGGCATAGTTAAAAATTGCTTCTCCTTTGGCATTACGCTTCTCTCTATAATGGAAACACATTGTGGAATCATGATCTCTTCTCTTAGGGGTTAAAATAATCATAATTAAAAATACACCAAGAGCAACTATCCATACTATACAGCAAACGTAAATACTTTGTTTAGTTGTTGTTGTCCTCCGTTGTTGTATAGACCGATTAATTTTTATGTAGCGATCCAAACTGATGAATCCAAGCAAAATAATGCTAATGTACATGTTCATATAAAATAGTGTTCCCACAACCTTACAAAGGATCACACCAAGTGTCCACTGGTTCCCATTAATGTGATACATTATTCGGAAAGGCAGGCAGAAGATCAGTAAGAGATCTGCAATGGCTACATTCAGAAGGTAAATCTGTATGGAATTTCTTTTGCGGTGGATACCCAGAAATACGTAGAGGGCAATTATGTTTCCAATTAGTCCCACGATGAAAATGACAGAGTAGGATATTGTTAGCATGCTAGAGAGTAGTTTCTCATCCATGGAACAGTTATTTCCTGGGACATGACTGCTTTGGTTAGCCATTACGATCACTTCCTGGGAGGAGTAAGGCCAGCTGTGGGCTGAAGTGGTCGTCGTTGTTACATGTGACTTCTCATTGTCCGGTGTAGGCGTCAAAAAGTGGAGGTGCTAAGTGGCATGTTCCTTGTGTGTAGCTTTTATGTCTTCAGATTTTTCCTACAACAGAATTGCGCCACTGAGTCATTTGCCATTTTAGTAACAGTCACTTTAACTCAAAGCTCAAATAATAAATTATTTTTAGATGTGAGGAACGTTGAGTATCTACACTAGGTATGTAGCAGCATTACGGTCTCATAAAACAAGCAGTAAATGTAGTAGAGTCTTCGGGAATGTCCTGCTCTAACCTTTCCTATGGCTATGGTATACGTTCAAGGTTTGTTTTATTTAACCTTCCCTGGGGAGTTTGTAATGGGAATAGAGATGGAGGTCAAGAGAAATGACAGCTCCCATTGTTCAAAGATAAGGGTCAATTTACATAAAGGTAGTTACAGCCATGAGTGAGTTGGGCCCACTGCTGACCCCTGCCCAGCTCCATGCCTTGACACCTTCCCTTGTAAATGGCATTCATTCCTTTTGACTAAGAAAGGGTGTTACACAGTATAGGACAGATAAACTGTGGCAGTCTTCCATTCCAGGGTGAGAATAAAGGAAAAAGTCCTCAATTTCTTCTTTTACAACCTAAGACCAAGTTGGATATATTAAAAATCATTTGCCTACAGGACAAGCTGACCAAAAGAGCAGAGCACGTTAGGCAGATTCTTGTAACCCTGCAACCGGAGAGTAAAGTAGCCAAGCAAGCAAGTTGGGCGGCAATGTCCGCCAATTAGGCCAGACAGTCTCCTGACCTAGAAACGTACAGTGATAATGTAGATGGAAAACAGGATGTGCATTCCAGGATTTTGAAATAACTGCAGTTTACTATGCCCTGAGTTAGGTAACTTGCAACTGTTGCTAGAACCTTGTCAGAGACAGTGTATGAACTACACTTGTTTGTGGCAGCAGAGAATGTTAACAATGCTACCTGTTCTTGGCCCTTTCCTGGGCATTGACTGCTATGAAGAACTCAGTCTGAGAGGCCATAATAAGGAGCTAGAAGACACGAAGAGAGGGTTCCAGGAGGCCTTATCCCTTTCCTTTCTTAGTGACTGCCCCATTTCTCTATAGCAGCCTCTTGGCAGATGTAACATAAAGATGTTCAGAGCAAGGTTACCAGAACCAGACTAACTAACTCTGTGACCTTGATTCAACCAATTAATCTTTTCTAAGTCTCATTTTTCTTACCTATAGAAATGTAAAATGTGTATGAAGAACTTAACCCTAGCACATAAAAGTACTCCATGAAAATTGGCTTTTAAAAAAACACCTTTGGACTAATCTCATTGTAGTAAATTTTCTACACCTGGCTAAATACTACATGGAAAATGAAGGTGAACAAGACCAAGATCCTGCTCTCAGTAAACCTTTTTGTAGGCATGTGCATTCAAATTCTGAATGCTATGAGGTAAAGTGGGATTTGAATTACAGTAACTTCTTGATGTCACATGCTACGCAGAAAAAAACATTTGGAAGAACGTAGCCTTTCTTGAAATCCTATCTCTAATTTGATAGAGAAGAAATCATGTCATGGAGGGTAAAATTCCAGTTTAAAATCTTGTCAAAGAGAGAAAATTGATTCCAGGGAAAAGGAACCTACTCATGAAGAGGAAGTTATGTAATCCCTGATAAGAGCCTGTCACCAGAGCTCAGGTCCATGGAGAGAGGGAGGCAGGAGGCAAGTCTAGTCTCTATCCTGTGTCTCAACTGCAGGAAGAGTGATGTTCGCAACATTTATAGAAACTTACAGGCTTGTCTTTGGTGATTTGAAATTCTAGAAGGAAAGGGCCATCGAGGAAGAATGGCAAGCTGCCAAAAAATTAAGCTGGTAAATGCGATCTGGATTACCAGGAAGAGGAAAAGAGTGCCTGAAGGAGGGATTAGCTTCCTGTGGTTACGTGGGGAGCTTGCAGAAGCTCAGGTGGAAACCTCTCATAGCCACCAGTGAAAGGGCACTTGATGGCAAGTGACATGATTTTGAGAGCTCAGATAGCTGAAATGACTGTAAGAACTCCTCTGTAAGCAGTTCTTTCTTTTTTTTCCTTCTCCCATGCTGCATTTTAAACTCCATTAGGATTAGGAACCTCATCTTTTTTGTTTACCTCTGTACCAAGTGCTCAGCCCAATAAATATTATTGAATGAAAGAGGGAATTTAGTAGAAAAGTATAGGTGAAGTTCTCCAAGTGGATCTCAAAATCAGCTGTTCAAGAACAGGAGGAGCTTTAGCACATTAAGAAATGAAATTGCAATTGACCATCGTTGCTGTGTTGGCAGCCTGTTGTGGCTGCAGCAAAAACTAACCCCATTCTCTGGTTGAAGTCATAGACAGGGAGTGTCTTAAGTGAAGGCCGTTACTACTAATCTGAAGGGTGTTACTGCCTGCCCCAAGCCAGCAGAACCTCACCTGGAATGCAGTTTTTCATCCCAACAGCACACTTGAAAACTGCCACAGAACAAATGGGGGAGAAAAGCCCAATTCATGTCATAGGAGTGAGATGAAGGAAACAGGCACCTTACCCTGGTGATGGGAAAGCTTTGCAAAGCCACAGAGAAAAGGATTGCACCTTGTGATCTGTGTTTTCAGAAAGCAGAACAAGGACTAATGAGTAGAACTGCAGAGACAGATGTTGCCTCCAATTAAGGAAATGCTGTTTTAGAATGAAACAGTCTATCTTGGGAGGCAGTGGGGGTCTTACCACCAGAGATCTCAAGACTGACACTGGTTGGGTCATTTGTAGAAGAGACACTCGGCGGCTCTCAATCTGGGCTACATATTAGAATCCCTTTGAGGGCTTTTTAAGGATACCAGTGCCTGGCTCCAACCCCAGATATTCTGATTTAATTGGTCTGGAATGGGCTCCAGGCAATGGCTTCCTTCAAAAGGTCCTCAGGGGATTCTAATGTGCAGCCAGTAGTGAACCCTTGAGCTAGATGGCTGGACCATTAACTAATATTTATTTAGCAGTTGCTGTGCACCAGGCAGTGGGTTAAGCACATTTATATTACTTCATTTGCCTAATCCTTATAGTAACCTTGTGATGTAAGTATTACAAAAGACCGTAATGTGGGGATCCCTGGGTGGCTCAGTGGTTTAGTGCCTGCCTTCCCCCCAGAGTGTGATCCTAGAGTCCTGGGATCGAGTCCTATGTCGGGCTCCTTGTATGGAGCCTGCTTCTCCCTCTGCCTGTGTCTCTGCCTCTCTCTCTCTCTGTGTCTCTCATGAAAAAATAAATAAAATCTTTAAAAGAAAAAAAAAGACGTAATGAGAGATTAAAAGGTTGTGAACTTTACCTAGGACCACACAGCTCTTAAATGGCAGTACCCAAGCTGGGGCTCAGATCTGACTAGCTTTTAGGGTCCATGATCCTTTTCGCTAAACCTCACTCCTAATCACGTAGGATCAGCATTTCCTTTTTTAAAGCTGAGTTCTGTCAGCAGTATTTGGACATGATTCCTTTAACATTATCTGCATTAGCAATTTTTTAAAAGACTTTATTTTTAAGTAATCTCTACATCCAACATGGGGCTCAAACTCACAACTTCCAGAATAAGAGTCACATACTCTACTGACTGAGCCAGCCAATTGTCCCTCACACTAGTAATTTTAAGAAGAGATTATACTTTGTAGTTTTTCTTCTTTGGAAAAGGTATTAATCTTTTCATTTGCTCTGTCCATTTTAGTAAGTTAAGTCCAGAATTGACAGAATCATAAATTATTCATCAGAACATTCAACACATCTCCCAGAGCATATCTTTTCAAACTTACTTCTAGGCCTGCAAGCCATCATCAAGATATTTCTAGAAAGCTGTTAGCACAAAGCATATATCCTGAAACCATTTGCCCCAGCTCTAATCTTCCAATAAAATAAATTAATAATAGTTGGACAGGGTTGCCAATAAACCTTTCCGGTTTCGCTTTATTTGTAAGCTTAAAGAAAATAAGGCAAAAGCAATGCATTTGTTTAAATAGTAATAGTGCCCATCATTTAGAGCTGTGTATTAGATGGCTGATGTCCAGTCATTTACTAACGAATTAACAGATTAGATTCTGTTTTACACTTAATGGCTGATTTTCACCTCCATTACACTGTGTCAATCTCTCCCTGTTCTTAAGGCCATTTATTGATGTATTAAAAACGATTCATTTGGTTTGTTAACACTGGCCAATGAGGACAAGAAACAAACCACTGGTGTTCATGTAGTGGACTAATTTCCCCATGGGTATTACTTGTGACTTGTGTACTATATTGAAGTGGTCATAATGGTTTTCTGATAGTAGATGGAAAAAGGGTTTTCTTAAGGTTGTTACTTGACAAATCCTGAAGTTTGTCCCCTGTGTGAGTGCTGCACTGTACCCAGCACCATCACCCCGCTGGCCAGTGGTTTTCAACTGGCTCGTGATGGAACTTCTGTACTAGAGGGCAGCACCCAGCAGATTCCACTGTGGCCTCCAAAGAGCAAAAGCTTTGTAAATGGCACTCTGGGTATGTTTGTGAAAACATCACGTTGCTATGTTAAAATACATACCTACTTGGCAGTGGTAGCAACCTTTCCCTGTAGTTTGATTTGGTAGCAGCTGAATCATTCAGGCCATGCTTCAAAAATTGCATTAATTGCTGCATACAGAATAAAAATTGCAAGCATGTTACTGTGGAAATCATACTATTAGTAGTATATTAGGTTTTGTTATAAACTTAACTGTGTCTAAAAACAACACATTTTAGAAAATTTCAGCTGAATTAACTCACATGTATTTTGCTTTTTCTTTTCTCTAATATTCACCTTATTTACTTCTGAAACACCAAACTTAACATTTATTTCATCTGGCAATTATCGTAACATAATCACAATATAATAAAGTATAGCCAGTGCAAATAGGGAGACAACAAAACAATAAAGTTAACAGGTGATCATTTATAATACATTGGAGATAAAATTTGTTGCACACGACAATAACTTCTCATGAGTTCAAGTGGTTCTCCAAGTCTTTATGGCAATACACAAAGGACAGTATAAGCAATGTGACAGTATTGGTAGTATGAGCTTCAGTACCCACAGTGTCTTCAAGTAAGTAAGAAGACAACCTCATTTTAAGTCAAATCAAGGCAGAGGTGCCATTCAAGCAGTTTACTCAGGGCTCTAAAAAGCAAAGCACTAGTCAATTGAAGCAGGTTTCACTTTTAGTATTCAGATCATCACATTTTAACCGAAATAATGGGTCATTTATATAGTTGAAATCAAGGAGTACTCACAGGTCAGGCTCTCATGCAGTAAAAGCAGAACACTAAGCTTCCCTAAACACAGAGACTTGTCTTTCTGTGTCAGCTGGGCTCCTCCATCCGGTCGTGGTACAATTGGTTGAGGTCGGGGTTTTTTTTTTTTTTTTTTTTTTTTTTTTAATTTGCATGTAGTAATAAGGTTGGGGTTTTTTTCCCTTTTCTTTCTTTTTTCAATATGCTGTTCCTCTGATTCCTTGTGAAAATGGTAAAAAGCCCACCAGCATGCAACCACTTTATGTGTAAGCTCAGTCAACACTTCATAAAATTATTTTTATCTTTTCTATGAATACCTTTCACCTTGACTATCGTAGGAAGTCTTCCCTTATACCCCCAAATAAAGAAGTTTTACGAATTCTAAGCATAATTATGTATTTTCTATTTTTGCCTAAGAAATGATGCATAGTAAGCACTGAATATCTATTTCTTTCATGATTCATTTTAAAAATTAAGTTATTCACATAAAATGGCATTCCTGTATTGAATGTACTAACATCAGTCATGAATTATTTTATTCCTTAGTTTTTTAAGCTTTATTTGATCTGTGCATTATTTTAGTAGACTTTCATGTATTCCTTTAAGACCTTGGATTTATTTTCTAAAACAGTGTTACAATCTTAGGACTAGATGAGATCTGTGATGGTATTCTCCCCTTTTTGTCACTACGATAAATTCTCCCAAGTAACTTGAAATCTCTGTTTTTAAAGATAATAATAAAGGAATTCTACAGTTTTTATTTTGGTTCCAGTCCAGTATTTAATGACTGTCCATCTATGTATCTGCTGGCTCTGCAATTTCATGGCATTTCCCTTTTTTCATTGTCATCTGAAATGAAAGATTAGTTTTTATTCTCCCCATATAATCGTTAGCTTGCAGCTTTGTTTACACTAAATAATATTTAACTCACTGGGCTTTATCTAACATTTTAATTATTTCTGGATACATTCACTTTTTTAAATGCATATTCTCCAGGGCTTTTTTGTTGTTGTTATGAATATTACACATGGGACAGAATATTTTAAAATTGCTAGGATGAAAATATGTCATAGCTCTTACTTCCCCTTTGAACCCCTGAGAAGGAAGAGAATTACCATGTTGGTCTGGCAGGAATTTTGTGTGTGTGTAGTAAACAACAACAAAAACAACCACACCATATTAAACTTGCTATCTTAATTATTTTTAAACAGTTCAGGAGTGTTAAATATATATATATTGTTGTGCAGCAGATCTCTGGAACTTTTTCATCACCCAAAACTGAAACTCTGTTGGCAGTTACCTTTCTACTTTATGTGACTTGGCTATTGTAGATAATTCATTTGAGTAGAATCATAGTGCATCTGTCCTTTTCTGACTGGCTTTTTTCATTTAGCATAATATCCTCAAGATTCACCCATATTCTAGCATATGACAGAACTTCCTTCTTTTTAAGGCTGCATAATGTTTCATTGTATGTGTATATATCACATTTTCTTTATTTATCTGTCAGTGGACATTTGAGTTACTTCCACCTCTTTGACTGTTGTGAATAATAATGCAATAAACATGGCTGTGCAAATGTATTTTTTTGTGATCCTGGCAGAATTTTTTGTAGAACTGATTAGGTATTTATTAGCATTCTATTTCACTAAATCTAATATAAATATTTTTATAATGTACTAGCTGTTTTTCCATACCCTAGCCTCTGTTTTTTTTTTTAAGATTTTATTTATTTATTCATGAGAGACACAGAAAGAGAGAGAGGCAGAGATACAGGCAGAGAGAGAAGCAGGCTCCATGCAGGGAACCCAATGTGGGACTTGATCCCGGGACTCCAGGATCACGCCCTGGGCAGAAGGCTGGCACTTAACCACTGAGCAACCCAGGCATCCCAGTTTTCGAAATAACCAATTCTGTTTTAATCTTCAGTGCCCTGGTGGCCCTACTATGACCAGATTTGAGTATACATGCAGTCCCCAACTTACAGTGGTTCAACTTAGGATTTTTTGACTTTGCTGTGGCACAAAAGCAATATGCATTCAGTAGAAACTGCAGTTCAAATTTTGATCTCTTCCCAGGCAAGGGATATATGGCATGGTCCTCTGTCATGTTGCTGGGCAGTAGCTCCCAATCAGTTTCACCATCATGAGAGTCAATAACTGATACACTTATAACCATTCTATACCCATTGCAGTCATTCTCTTTTTCACTTTGGGTGTAGTATCCAAAAAATCACATGAGATATTTAGCACTTTATTATAAAATATGCTTTGTGTCAGATGAGTTTGCCCAACTGGAAGCTAATGTAAGTGTTCTGATCATGTTTAAGGTAGGCTAGGCTAAACTATGAGATTCGGAAGGTTAGGTATAAATGCTTTTTCAACTTACAGTATTTTCAATGTATGATGGATTTATCAGGACATGACCCCATTGCATATTGAGGAAGATCTGTAATCTTTTTCTGATTCTTCCTTAACATGAGCTTTTTCCTATTCATTCTAAGCTTTCTACTTTCTGTCTCTCTGTTCTTAGCTCATTCTTATGTATCCTTTTCCTACTTTATTAGTATCTTAGCTTGTTATATATAGAGATAGAAGTAGAAAAGCATAAATACATAGATACATTTGGCCCCATCCATTACTGATATCACCATCCTCTCTTTATCTAAATCCAACCCTGGTTAAATTCAGCTAACCACCTACTCCAGACCTGAACCCTACTGGCTGAAATAAGGACTACTAGGTACAAACACCAGGTCGTTTTGATTGTTCTCACTTTACATTCATGACCACAAACCTCAAGTGGGCCCTTGTGCTGCCAGCAGTCCTGCTCTATTTCCTTAGTCTGTTGGTTCTCAAAGCATGGCTTCCAGACCAGTAGCATCAACATCACTCAAGAACTTATTAGAAATGCATGTTCTTGACCTCATGTCAAACCTTATGAATCAGAAACTCTGGGGGTGGAAGCCAGCAAACCTGTGTGATTCTGAGGCTGAAGTTTGAGAACCACTACCTTAGTCAAGTCATTGTTCCATTCTTTGAAAATATTTCTTCACACTGTCACTCTTCTCAAGTTGCCAACAACCCCCTCTCCTTCCCCACTCCTGCCTGATGATCACTTTTATTTCAAAGTAAATAGAAAACAGAAGTACTCAGAAGAGAAGTTCCTCATATTCCTACATCCCCATCTGCTTGCATCTACAGGTGCTCCCATACCCTGCCTTCCTCACAATCACTGAGGCCAACCCCCTCTCCCCACCTGCACACTATATTCCATCCCTTCTTCCTCCTGGGATCGTGTTTTCCTCTCTACAGGGTCTTTCCCATCAGCACACAATTGTCTCTCTCTCAAAGACAAAACAAAAACACAGCTCCTTGAAAATCTCTAGATACTGCTATGGAGTCCTCAATCATGTTTTTATGTGAAACTTTTGAATATTAATGTGTATTTTCTTATTTCCATAAAAGGTAACAAAACAATGGAAGGATAAGCCCAAAAATAATACAAATACTTAGGAAAGAGGAAGGAGAGATTAAGAGGAAAGAAAAGGTATAAAAGCTGGACCTCTCTAAATGGAATATGTTTACAGTTTCAACTTTGGAATTACGTACATTTTTTTTAAGATTTTATTTATTTGAGACACAGAGTGTGCACATGAATACAGGGTGAGGAGCAGAAGGAGAGGGACAAACAGACTCCTTGCTGAGTGGGGAGCCCAATGTGGGGCTTGATCCCAAGACCCTGAAATCATGACCTGAGCCAAAGGCAGATGTTTAACTGACTGAGCCACCCAGGCACCCATATACATGTTTTATATAATCAAAACATCAAATCAAGTCAAAATCTAATTCAGACAAATAGGCCCCACTGGGTACCAAACTGAAAGCATAACCACAAGTAGAATTCTTTTAAGTGTCTTTAAATAGATTGAGTTTGGGGGCTGCTGGGTGGCTCAGTTGGTTAAGCGTCTGACCCTTGATTTCACCCTCAGGTCATGATCTCAGGGTTGTGAGATGGAGCCCCGCATTGGGCTCCACACTCGGCATGGAGTCTGCTTAAAGATCTCTCCCTCTCCCTCATAATAATACCCAAAAAACCCTTTATTAATTACTGTTGGAGGTTGCCTAGCAACCAACTTACTATTCTGGAAATCGTTCATAGCAGCTTTAGTCATAATATCCCAAAACTAGAAACAGCCCAAATGTCCCTCAATAGGAGAATGGACAAACTGAAGTATATTCATACAAGGGGATATTTACTCAGCAATAGAAGAAATGAACCACTGATCACAACAAAATGGATGAATCTCAGAAACATGCTGAGTGAGAGAAGCCTTACATAAAAGAGTACATACTCTATGGCTTTATGTATATGCAGTTGTAGTAAAAGCAAAACAAACTTGTGAAAAATATCAGACTAGTCATTTGCACTGGGGGTGTGGCAGCAGAGATTGAGTAGAAAGTGGGTGAGGGAGGTTTCTGGGATGATAACAGCTTGATTGGGATACAGGTTACATAGTTCTATGCAAGTTGGTAAAACTCACCAATGGTACTCTTAAGATTTGTGAATTTCACAGCATATAAATTTTACCTTAAACATAATTTTAAATATTAAACTCAAGGGGCACCGGGTGGCTCAGTTGGATAAGTGTCCAACTCTTGATTTTGGCTCAGGTCATGATTTTAGGATTGTGAGATTGGGCCCCATATCAGGCTTCACACTTAGTATGAAGTCGCTTAACATTCTCTGCCCTTCACTCCCCACCACATGCATTGCTTGCTCTCTCTCTCTCCCTCAAAAAAAAATATTAAACTCTAATGACATGTGCTGAATTATAGTGAAAAGATGGACAGATGGTTGGATAGAGGGATGAATAGATATTTGATAAAGCAAATGTAGCAAAATGTTCATTATAGAATCTATGTGGTGAATATGTGGCTATTTATAGTTCTTAAAAGTTTTCTCTGTTTTTGATAGTCTTCATAACAAAATATCAGAGAAAACTTCCATTTTGGAAATCCTAATTAGGGAACTGAGCAACATTGGCTGCTAAAAT